TTCTATTCTATTCTATTCTATTCTATTCTATTCTATTCTATTCTATTCTATTCTATTCTATACCCCAGCATATAAGCCCAGATAAATGAATAAGAGTAAACCTAGACAAAAATAATTAACAACAAGCTCTAACCTTCTGTTTCCTTCTGAGCAGATTAGAGAGAAAAATCTCCATTCTCTTCTGAAAGGGATGAATTGACATAGCAAACTGTCAAACCCTTGGATGTATTTTCCCCATTGTCGGTGGTTTGTCCTTTTGCACTTTTACTCAAAGAGATAGTGACTAGATCAGTGACTCTCATCTTGGCCACTTTAAGATGAGAGGACTTGAACTTCTAGAATTCTGGGAATTGAAGTCCACATATCTTCAAGTGCCCAGGATTGAAAAACAATGGTCTCAACAAATATATGTAGGCCTCAACTTATGAAAGTAATGGAGTCCGGTATTTCTGTGGTAAATTGTGACAGTTGTAAGTTGACTCCCCCATGTGACTGACCTGATTTTATGCCCTTTTTTGCAGTGGTTGACAATGCCATGGTCATTAAGCAAGTCAATTGGGCATTTTTTTTTGCTGGAAATATCATAAATCAGGCTGTGTGACCCCAAGATGCTGCAATGTGTTGTAAAGATGAACCAGTAGCCAAGTGTCTGAAATGTGGCTATGTGACCACAGGGGGGCGCACGGCCATTAGAACTCCAGAACCGGGTCATCAGTACATTTAAGGGGGGGGTTGTTATCATAATGTCAAATGGTCACTAAGTGAGTAAGGACTACCTGTAAAGCCCTCCTCTTTTGCAGGACATACAAAACCTCAGTGCTTAATTGTTCATCTCCCTGCTGCTCCCCCATGGCTCCTCTATTTTGGAGAGAACATCTGCTAGGAAATGGAAATTCCCCATCCATGGAAACAGCAGAATTGCAAGCCCAGATCACAATGATCACCAGGGGCTCAACTTTCACCAAAATCAGGAGTGTTCTTTCAGCTACTAACATTATTAACCAAGTGCTTGTTTCTCTGGAAAGGGAAAATAATTAAGGGAGCAGTGAGTCAGCAAATAAACAATAAGGGTCCAACTGGAATATTCTGAGAGTTATATTAAACTGGAGAAAATATGGCAGGGGTTGGATCAATTTATTCCAATGTATCTATTTATTGTGTATTTATTCCATCTATATGGTCTACCGTACCAACATAATAAATAGTATCTTCAGCAATAATGACAAAAATTGTTGTGAGCCACCTAGAGTTGTTTTGGAATTGGGCAGCACCTGAATCAAATAAATTAAAATAAATAAAAAACAAAAGGTCTAATTAAAAAGCAAATTTAAAAATTTACAGCCTAATTAAAACCCAATTATTATTGGGGTTTTGTTTTAAAACTATCACCCAACTCAGCAACATATCTCTAGAGAAGAGAGGTTTGGATAAGAAAGATTTTGCTTACTGGCAGAAAAATATCAGAAATGAAATTACTTGACTGTATTCTAGGTTTGCATAATACACTGAGCTGTAAAATAACCGAGTGGGTTGAGTTTTTACAACATGTTGAATCGTTAAAATGAACAGTTCAAGTTTAAAATGAAGTTTGCCGTTAAGCCTTTATTTGCCTTCTGCAAATACAGCCATTTCATCATTTTCTACGTCTCCTTAGGTGGATACAGCCAGTGAAATGGAGGAATTGGAAATTGACAGCATCTCATTGGTACCTGAGCAGGAAAACCATGATCCAGTAAAACTTCAGGTCTTCTTGGCTCGATATAGGTAGGGTTGTACAAAGAAACCAACTGATATATTAGCTATTAAGAAGGAAAATGACATGTAGCAAATGTTAGATTTTATTGATGTAACGGGAAAATTATTGCATCTAGAGACTGTTGGAGTTCCATTTGGCAAGGAAAGGAAATGAACATTGCAAGTTATATATGGGAAGAGAGACTCTGGCTATGCTAAGAATAAGACTAAGTGGATGAATTTGTGTATCTTGATAGAACATCTTCAAAAACGGATGGAGAAAATGTTAATTAAGAATTGTGTATGATAAAACAAGCACAAGAGTTCAAATAGCTGTTGAATCAGTATGGACTGAATATAAAAATGAGCATCTAATATGAAATGATGTTATATATTGAGGTGGCTTAGTCATATCAAGAGAATGAAGAGTGAATTACAACATAGATGAAGAAAGTGGAGAATGGGAAGTGGATGATGTCACTGTTGATGGAATTGATGAAATCCTCAAAAACAGAAAGATGACAGAATTATAAGAAAAAAGAAATATATGGAAATGATGGAGACAAGAATGGTTTGCAAAATAGAAAAAAAGCATAGGAATGTGACGTAAATGTTATATTATAGCTTTAATTAGGCTTCCTTTCCTCTTACCTCCTCTCTTTAGCTTCTTATTTATTATCTATCTATCTATCTATCTATCTATCTATCTATCTATCTATCTATCTATCTATCTATCTATCTATCTTCTCTAGTATGTGTAATGTTTTACCCTTAAAGAAGTTAACATGGAGGAAGGGATATGCATGCTTGTTTTTTCTCAAGTTTTTCCTATTCACCAGGTTTATTTCAAAGCAGGAATGAATGTCATCCAGATCATATTGGTCAATGATTATGAGAATGTCATCCATTCAGTTCAAAATATCATTCAGTTTACGTTCTAATGACATCAGAGGTATTTGATCTGCAGATTCATATTGGCAGACTTCATCTTGGATTGTAGAAACTGAAATATGTAGGAGATTAGCGGATAAAATTTACGTATTCTCATGCAGCAGAGAATAGCTGCTCTTTTTCATTCTTCACTTAGATCTTTGTTGTTTTGTTTTGAGCTGGAGCACTGTGGCCACTCTGTGAATAATAAAGAGGGACGACAGACCAGAAAATGCTTCAGAAGAAATTTTCATATCTGCTGCTCTCTAACTCACAACACATTTATAGGAATTTGGTTTAGGTATTAATCTGGCAATCATAAGGTTGTCAAATTTTTGGAAATCTGACCTTCTTTCTGAAGGTGTGTTTGGAATTCTCCTTTTGTCTCCATTTTCATTTTCACATTTTGTGCAAAACTCTTCCATGCAGAGTTTGTCTTAAATTTCAGTTTTGTCACTTAGTGTTTTCTCCTCTTTTCAGAATCACAATTCTCATCAGTAACATAGCACGATAAACCAGGCTAGATTCCTAACCTGTAATATTTTTATCACTGCACAAACATATACACTTCAATTATTAAATCCTGCACAAAAATAATCTCAGGAACCCATATACTGCGCTTTTAATTTAGGTTTAGGATTTTTTCAATATATAGCTGTACAGAAGTAATTGTGAAAGGAGAAAAAATACAAATGAGTTGCAATGGAACTGTAAAGCAATCTGCACAAACTCTCGTTTTTGAAATTAATGTTAGATATTCCCTTAATTTAAAATGAACATTACAAGAGAGACCCAGAGGTGCTTTTTCAAAAGGCAACTGGACCTTCTTTGTTTTTGCTTGAAGACGTTTTACTTCTCATCTGAGAAACTTCTTCAGTTCTTCTTCAGTTCTTCAAGCAAAAACAGAGACAGTCCAGTCGCCTTTTGAAAAAGCCCCTTTGGGACAACCATGACCCAGATGCCTGAGACTCTCCATAGACAATTACAAGAGAGATTGCATAGAATGGAAACCCAAAGCAATACTGCAGGATCATATGGATAAAAACTCTTCATCTTTGGTATTGAATTTTGCATGTCCTATTTGCCTCTGTATACCTTTGCAGACAATTTCCCTGCCATCCTCACTTAAAAAGCAGATTCAGATGGTGGACAAATCCCTTGTTGGCCTATCAGACTTCAAAAAGTTGTTCTTACATTCATTTCAGTTACAATCCTTTTGATGGCCCCAATGAGAATCCTGAGGCCGAACTACCACTTACAGCTGGCGAGTATATTTACGTTTATGGAGAAATGGATGAAGATGGCTTTTTTGAAGGTATGCTATAAGATGCATGAAAAAATGGAGTTGTAAAGTATAGAACAATATATCAAAATAGTCTTGTAGATGGGTGTGGAAGTCTTTAATAGATTTAAATTTTGTTAATATTATTATTGCTAATAAAAAAAACTGGGAGGTCAGGTGTTTTTAACAGGAATTCAGCCATCAGCAGGAGATCGGCTAATCCAAAGAATAAGAGATGATCATATAACCAATGGTTTTCTTATACCCTGTAGAAACCTTGAATGTAAAAAAGTAAGAAAACTGACTTTTCAAAGATTTTACAGTTAAAATTATTCAATTTTCCTTTTCAGATTAGTTTTTCAGTTCAATTCAATGTTACTATTTTTTTTAAAATTAATCTTACTGTAAGGAAAATTTTTAAATATCAATTTTACCTACTGTAAGCCTCAGCTGCATCTGAGCTGCTTACAGTAATAAAATCAGCACAATGAAAGAGACCTGATGTGGTATAGTGATTAAGATGTCACTTGGAGTGGGGAGATCCACACTGTAGTCCAACTACAGTCATGGAAGTCACGGGATAACTTTGGGCCTGTCAATCCTAGTCCTACGGTATTTACCAATCATATACTTTTAATATCTCTATATGCTGGGCTGACATTTATAGATATTCTGCAACAACCAGAAATATAAGAACTTAAAGTCTGGTTAGATCACCTTAAAGATCCAGTCTTCCTGTTTTTCCAATCATAAACAATATCTTGCAGAGGGGAGACATATCTAAATCAGGAGAAATGTTTTGGAAATATATTGTAAATGGTCTGTGTTGAATAGAATAGAATACAGTAGGGTAGGGTACAGTAGGGTAGGATAGGGAGGATAGGGTAGGGTAGGGTAGTATAGGATAGGACAGGACAGAATAGAACTTTATTGTCATTTCAATGTACACTAATTGTCATACATTAAAATGAAATGTCATTGCATACCACTTTCAAAAGTTCACCATCTCTAAATATACCACATAGTTATGTATACACTACATAAAAGGCTGCTGGGGGGTTAGAGTGATTTCATCTGAGGCCACAGGTCTTCTGATCTCTCGTGTTGTTAAATTCATCTTCAGGGGAGCTGATGGATGGCCGGAGAGGCCTTGTCCCTTCCAACTTTGTGGAGCGACTTGCAGATGATGACCTGGTTACTTTCTTGCCTCAGGAACTCCATGATCTCTCCCAAAGCTCCCCTCTTGAGCGGAGTTTTCTCAGCATAAGCATCAGCAGTGGAGAGAGAAGTGATTATTCATTGGAGGAGCTCAATGCCAGCACAGCTCCCTCTAGGCTAGAAGGGGACCAAGGAGAAGGAGGTATTTCCATTGCAGTGCCTTATCCCAGAAAGGTGACTCTAATCAAACAGTTTGCCTCTAGCCTCTTGGTGACATGGGATCCACCACTGGTGCCTAGTGGAAGCTGCTTGGATGTCCAGAGCTACAATGTCTTTGTGGACGCTGAACTCCGGGAAAACGTGAAGGCCAGTTCCCAGATGAAGGCCATGATCGACAGACTGGACTTGAAAACAAAAGCCTATCGTGTCTCCATACAGAGTGTTTCTGAGAAGGGCAGCTCAGACAGACTGCAGTGCACATTCCTGGTGGGATGTGGTTTTGTCTTAGCTCCAAGCCAGCTCCAAGTGCGGAGTGTCAAGGCCACTTCCGTGGAGCTGTCCTGGATGTCAAGCAACAGCAACTTCCCACATACCATATACCTCAACGGGGGAGCATGTGATATAGTGAAGGCTGGAATATATTGGTACACTTTTCGCAATCTGAATCCAAACACTTCCTACATTGCCACAGTCGAAATCCAGCCTCAACAGGCTTTCTGGAAAACGTTTCCAGAGGTGGAAGAGCAGGTCTTGTCCACAGAGATCCAGTTCACGACATCTTCAGCAGGTAAGTGAAGCTTTTAGAGATTCTGGAGAACTGGACACAGTATTCCAACTGTGGCCTCACCTAATGCAGTATAAACAGGGGTGGGCTGCTAAGGGTTCGCCCGTGTTCGGGAGAACCGATAGCTAATGTTACAGCCAGTTCGGAGAACCTCCAAATCCCACCACTGGCTGGCCCCTCCCACCACACCACACCCCTTTCAGGAGTCTCAACACGGCCGGTTTTAGATGTGAGGTAAGTGCAGGGCACATGTGGAGGCTTGGGGAGGGGGGAAAATGGGCCTGCCAGAAGTTCTGGAAGGCCAGAAACAGACTCATGAGGGAGGCAGTTTTCGCACTCCTGGAGGTTTGAGGAAAGCCTCCAAAGCCTGGGGAAGTTGAAAAGACACCCCCCCACACACTGTAGTGCAGAGACCGACTAGGCCACGCCCACCCAGCAACCGGGCAGAGAAACCATTGCTGAAATTTTTGAAGCCCACCCTGAGTATAAAGTGGCATTATCACTGTTCAATGGTTCTGAGATCACATCTGCCAGCTCTCCTTCAGACTCCTATGATGTAAACCATCTAATCCTGGCAATTTGAACTCATCTTGATTGGATAGAGGCTCTCTCATCAGTTTCTTGCCTATTTTGATCTGCATTCCGGCTTCGTCTCCCATGGAGTTGCTTTTGGTAGGTTGGACTAACAACAACAACACAATTCTAAAGGAGGGGACCCATAAAAGCACCCCGTTGATGACCTCAGTTTTGTGCTATTCATAGATTGAGCAGTTTTCTTGTGTTCTATTGATTTGCAGATTTGTAAATCTGCTTGCTGCTAAATTTCTGGCTGTAACTATAATCCTGTTTATGGCTTCTGCTATAAGGATACTGAGGATCAAACCTTGAACATGTTTATCATGTTCATTGCTTTGAAGTACTGATTCCTGAGATCCAGGCACTAATTGCCATTGGCAAGTGATTAGATGGAAATATTTTGTTTAAAGCTCCAAAAACTGCTTCGAGGGCTGAAGTCCATTACTTGAAAGACTACTAAAAACACTCTTGTTTCCATCCCTTCAATATTCTCCCTATAAGCTCCTTTTCTTTAGCCTCCTTTTCCCCTCCTTTCACAGGGACCTCTGCCTGAGCAGGGGGTTGGACTAGAAGACCTCCAAGTCCCTTCCAATTTTGTATTCTGTTACCCCAAGAGGTATTCTTTTCTGTAGTCTTAGGGACTTTGGGTCAAGCTTCCTATAATCTTTTTGAACCAAATCAATTTTGCCATTCTGCTGTTTTTGCAGAAGAAATAGCCAATGACTCTTTCTTCAGGGTCTCCAGATGCTCCGCTGGATGTCCGGGTGGATCCTGGCCCCACATCTGGTATTCTGGTCATCAGCTGGTTGCCAGTCACCATTGATGCTGAAGGATCATCCAATGGAGTGCGCGTCACTGGCTATGCAGTGTATGCTGATGGACAAAAGGTACCAAGTTGTTTTTGGGCATGGCTGGAAGAAAATTAGGACAGTATCATTTTTACCCATGATAAGACATGGAGAAATAAACTGAGCATGGAGGTAATAGAATCTAATAGTGGCAGGATTTTCTCCAGAACTCAGTTTGATATTCTTTTCATGCTGTAAGATTTAAAACATGTATCTTTCCACCTTACACTTCAATCCATCATTCTTTATCTATTCGATTTGATTCTGAATATAGGTAGTCCTTAACTTACAACCACAATTGGAACCAAAACTCCCATCGCTAATCAAGACAGTCATTAAGTGAATCATCACGTGACTGCTTTTATGACCTTTTCTCCCACAGTCATTAAGAGAATCTCACGGTTGTTAATTGGCTGCCCCAGTTGACTTTGCTTGTCATAAGTGGTCTGGGAAGATCACAAATGACAATCAGTCAATCAGAATCAATCAATCAATCAGAATGGAGCTGGAAGGGATCACGTGACCCTGGGAGGCTGCAAGAATCCTAATACATGCTTCTATCCATGCCTGTTTTGCAGTTGTGATTGTGGAGGTGCTGTATTGGTTGTGTGAGGACTGGTTGTAAATCACTTTTTTCAGCTGAGTCATAACTTCAAACGGTCACTAAATGAATAGTTGTAAGTCAAGGACTGTTCATAGAGTTCTTCGTTGTACATTCTTTTAGCACACAGAATAGACAGCTCTGATGGTTTGTCTTATACACTAATGCTTTATTAAAAGGCTCACT